TTCCCAGCACCATTTGTTGAAGGGATTGTCTTTTTTTCCCCTTGGATATTCTTTCCTGCTTCCATGCAGGAAGCAGGAAGCATTTCTTGGTTTTCTGTTCTATTCCATTGATCTATGTATCTCGTTTTGTGCATCCTGCTGTCTTAATGACTACAGCTTGGTAATACAGCTTGAAGTCTGGAAGTATGATGTCTCCAGCTTTGCTTTGCTTTTTCGGGATTGTTTTAGCTATTTGAGGTCTTTTCTGGTTCCATATAAATTTTAGGATTGTTTGTTCTAGCTCTGTGAAAAATACTGTCTGTAATTTGATAAGAGATTGCATTAAATGTGTAGATTGCTTTGGGTGATATAGACTTTAAAAATATGTGTTCTTCCAGTCTACGAGCATGGAATGTTTTTCCATTTCTTTGTGTCCTCTTGAATTTCTTTCTAAGTAAGTAGTTTTCAGATTACAGATTTTTACCTCTTTGGTTTATTCATAGGCATCCTACAGTTTTTAGCATAATTATAAATGGGATTGGTTCCTTGATTTCCTTTCCTGCTGCTTTATTATTGTTGTCTAGAAATGCAACCAATTTCTGTGTGTTGATTTTATAGCTTGTGATTTTGCTGAATCCTTGTATCAGTTCTAGCTTACATTTCTTTTCTACATTTTCTTAAATTACCATAGGACATTTTTGTTTCTTGTTTATTCCATTTCATGTATATGAAATATAGAACATAGAGGTGTATATGAAAAGCTGCATATGTATGTGTGTATATGTACTTGTCTATATTATACACATATACACACAGAGACTTTAAGCACCTTCATTCTTTCCTGTAGTTCTGTACTATGTTAGATTGTTTTATTTGAGCATAAAAAAATTTTTTAGTATTTCCTGAGGTTTGATGGGAATCTGTTCTGTCTTTTGTTTTCTTTTCTTCTTCGTCTTTTTTTAATCTTTATTATTGAGAGAAAGAGTAAGGGAGGAGCAGAGAGGGAGATGCAGAATCCAAAGTAGGCTCCAGGCTCTGAGCTGTCAGCACAGAACCTGATGTGGGGCTCGAACTCACAGACATCAAGATCTTGCCCTGAGTTGAAGTCAGACACTTAACTGACTGAGCCACTCAGGTGCCCCTTTTTTGTCTTCATTTGATTCTAAAAATTAGATTCTGATTTTCTGTTGAGATTCCTATTTTTTATCTATTTAATCTCCCATATTTTGATCTCTTAATATACTCACAATCATTTTAAAGTCTTTCTGCACTAATTCCAGTATCTGAATCCTTTGTAAATATGGTTTTCTGGTTTTTCCTCTCAATTTTTAGTAACTTTTTTTCTACTTGACAGATTCTGTAATTTTTGATTATGTACTAGATATTGTGATTTAAAACATTGTAAGGACTGAAGATGGTGTTACTTTCCACCAAGAGGTTTTGTCCTCTTTTCTGTTAATCATATAATGGCTGATCACTTCAGTTATGTCAAGAATTTTACTGAGTCAGTAGTGGGATGGAGCTGTAGTTGACATTTGATTTTTCCTGATTTGTGGCCTTCCTTGATTTTTGCTTTCATCCTTACAGATCTTTGATTCTTCAGTAAGTAAATACAGCAAGAAACTCAATTTAGGTGTCTCAGATGCTTGAGTTCTTCTCTTTAGACTCCCAGCCCTTACAGATCAGAATATGGCAAATGTAAGGGGATCCCAGCTATGTTGTAGTTAAACTTTCTTTTTTATATTTTTTAATGTTTATTTATTTTCGTATATTATTTTCGAGAGAGAGAGACAGACAGAGCATGAATGGGAGAGAGGCAAAGAGAAAGGGAGACACAGAATCCAAGGCAGGCTCCAGGCTCTGAGCTATCAGCACAGAGCCCAACGTGGGGCTCGAACTCGTGAACTGCAAGATCATGACCTAAGCTGAAGTCGGACACCCAACCAACTGAACCACGCAGCTGCCTCAGTAGTTACACTTTCTTAATGGAAATTTGTCTCATAAGAACCCAAGCATTGCAAGTGATTTTACTTTTTCTGGCTCAGCCTCCTTCTTGGGGATGGCAGTTCTGGTTTTTTCCTCTTGAGCCTGGAAGGTGTCCTCAGCTTTGAAAGTTCTCTCACTCAGACAGTAGTTATTTAGCTTCCTGCCTTATTCAGGTTCAAAATCTGGCAAATGTCTTAAGGAAGAGACCTAATGTTTGTTAAAGACCCCTCTGTCTAGTGGGACTTGGTTGGTTATTAATGCCATGACTACGAAGGAGAATTTACTCTGCTTCTCTGACTCAATTATCCATTCTCCTGTACCATCCTGATACTAAGAAAATATCCTGTTGGGGAAATTGGCTTGGTATTCTGCTAGATTTCACTCCATCATGGTAGCCCATCGGTTCTTCAAAAGCTCTGGTGATTTCTCTTTCCCAGGGGAGTATGTCTGCCTACACTCAGTCCCTGTCCACAATCTCCAAAATCCCCTCTCTAGCACATTAGATTATTGTTTCCTGATTGCTTCTATAGCTCTCTGGTATCTTTTATCTATGGTTTTGATAATTTATTCAATTTTATTTGCTTGTTGCAAAGGGAAAGATGGTCTGTGGCTGTGTACTGTATTCTACCTGGAAATGGAAGTCCTATTTAGATTATCTTTAATTTCTCTAATTAATAGCTTCCTACTTAGAGGTCTTACAGTTTTCATTATACTAGTAGGCATTTGATATTTGTGATCATAATACAGATGGCATATTTTTTAGCTTTTAATTTTATAACTTTTTTGATATCAAAAAATGTAATGAATTTTTAAAAATTTCTATCTCCTATCTGGCAACTTTTCTAAAAACTTATTTATATTTTAATGAGTTACGTTTAGATTGTTTTAGGTTTTCTGTATACTGATTATATCAGATATGAACATTGAGAGTATTATTTCTTCTTTTCTTATTTTTGTATATCTCCTTTCTTTCTCCTGACTTACTACTAATGCCATTTATGACCTTTACTAAAGATGAACAGAAATGGTGAGATTTGGCATCTTTATTTTGTTCCTAATCTCACAGTGAACATTTTCTATGTTTCACTATAAATAGGATGGTTGCTCTTAAGTTTTTTGTGGTTTGTCTTTGCTATGAGTTTTTATCATACATAATTCTTGAGTTTTATCAAATGCTTTGACTTTATGTGTCATAAACATTTCATTTTCTCCTTTATTTTATTGTTGTGGTGAGTCCTATTGATTGATTTTTGAGCACTAACTCGCCTTACATTCCTGGACTAAACCATCTTGGTATGAATTTGCATACATAAAGCATTTGGTTTTCTAATATTTTACTTAGGATTCTTGCTTGCATATTCATAAAGATGATTGGGTCATTATTTTCTTTTCTCATAATTTTCCACTTCAATTAGTGAATAGTAGGCAAAGGGTAGAAATTCAAGGGTTCTTCTGTTTTATAAAACATTATTCCTCTACTTAATATAATGTTAATAATACAATATTATTCTATTTTTTAAGAATAACTATCTTTGAGTAATTTTATTTTTTGTTTTTTTTTTTAAACTTTATTTCTTTTGAGAATGAGAGAAAACATGAGTGGGGGAGGGGCAGAAGGAGAGGGAGATAGAATCCCAAGCAGGTTCTGCACTATCAGTGCAAAGCTGATGCAGGGCTGCATCTCAGGAACTGTGAGATCATGACCTGAGCTGAAATCAAGAGTCGGATGCCTACCAGACTGAGCCACCCATGTGCCCCTTGATCTAAAAGTATTTTAGGGGGTGCCTGGGTGGCTTAGTCTGTTAAACGTCAACTTCAGCTCAGGTCATGATCTCACAGTTCGGGGGTTCAAGCCCCATGTCAGTCTCTGTGCTGATAGCTTGGAGTCTGGGGACTGCTTCAGATTCTGAGTCTCCCTCTCTCTCTGACCCTCACTTGCTTACGCTCTGTCTCTCTCTCTCAAAAATAAATAAACATTAAAAAATAAATAAATAAAAGTACTTTAGATCTACAGAAAAGATAGAGACATAATCGAGTTCCCTATACCCATCTGCCAGCTTTTCCTATTAGCATTCTAGATTACCATAGTGAACATTTGTCAAAATTAAGAAGGCAACATTTGTATGTTACCATTAACTACACTCCCAACTTCATTTATATTTCACATTTTTTCCATTAATGACCCTTTTTTTTTGTTCCAGGAACCTGTGCAGCAGTTACAGTTCCCTTTAGATAGTTGTCATGTCTCTTTAGTCTTCTCTTTTCAATGACAGTTTCTCATTCCTTCCTTTTTTTCATGATTTTGACAGTTTTGAGGAATATTGGTTAGATACTTTCAAGAATGTCCGTCAGCCTGGGATTGACTGATGTTTTTCGCATTATTAGACTGGAATTAGGGGTTTTGCCAAAGAATACCAGAAAAAGGAAATACCCATCATTTCACATCATAGCAGAGAGAATGTGACATCTACATGACAACATTGGTGATATGAACCTTCATCACCATGGTGTTTGCTAGGTTTCCACACTATAAAGTTACTATTTATCCCTTTTTATAATTCTGTTCTTTGGAATCCAGTTGCTTAATCCAGCCCATACTCAAGGGAAAAGGGAGAGATTAATTTTCACCTCCTTGGATGGGGAGGTATCTGCATATATTATTTGGAATTCTGTAAATAAGATTTATCTCCTTTCATTTTTCATTTATTCAATAATTTCTTTATTCTCTTTTAATATTAATTCTCTAAAATCATAATACATAATTACAATTTTGAAAATCTCTGGTGCCCCCACTGACATATAAACTTCTTGATGTAAGTCATTATTTCTTGTTCATTTTTATACCCTCTATGCATTTAATTTATGGTGGACTTCTAGTAATTTCTAGTATTTAAGATGGCAGAGAGTACTGTAGAAATAACCATTTGAGGTTGATTTATCTCCACAAAATATTCCTTAGCTACCTTTGGAAAGAGATTACAGTATTTGATAAGCCATGGATATGACCTGTTGTGTCTTTTCTCTTTTTTGTTCAGACCATCAGAGGAGATTAAGACCCCATTTTCTCCCTTTTCTGGAAAACTATCATCTGATGCAGTCACTCAGATAACAACAGAAAGTCCAGGAAAAACCCTATTTTCATCTGAAATTTTTATTAATCCTGAAGATCGTGGATTTGAAATTCCAGAGCCCAGTACCCAGAAGTTAGACAAGGTTCCTGCCAAGTTTGTTTCCTCATCTTCAGTCCAACAGATTCCTTATCCTCGTGTCACAGATGGTAAGAGAATGTGATTACATTTTAGGTCACAATACCAACTTTTATATGCAGTGATCTCGGAAATTTGTGAAGGGGTCTTTCTAGTCAGAAAACCTAATTTTCATTTTACATATAATTATGATCCATGTGATTCTATCCACCCTTTACATGGCTATGAAGAGAATGTGATTATGTTTTTGCCTTAATTTCTAGTGGAGCTACAACTTCTGTGGAACTTAGGGTGCCTGGGTGGCCCAGTTGGAAAGTTTCCGACTCTCTCTATCGGTTCAGATCACGATCTCATGGTTGAGTTCGAGCCTGGAATTGGGCTCTGTGTGCCAGTGAAGACCCGGCTTGGGATTCTCTCTCTCCCTCTCTCTCTGCCCCTCCCCCCCCAAAATAAATAAACTTAAAAAAAAAAAATAAACAACTTATGTGGAACTCATGCAGTTTGTGATTACCATATTTTTATCTCATGATACTTCTAATAATGCAGGTAGTTCATAAAAACTTAAAAACTATGGAAGTATAGTTTCAGGCTGGCAGGTGAATTATTGGCATTTTGTATTATATTAAAAGTTACTTATAATACAATGTTAAATAGATACAAAAGTATATAATAGTACAAATACAATACCAGTCAGTTTCTTGCTTATTAAATAATCACCAAGGACCCAGGTTGACTGTGGTTCTGCTGTCTTTAAAACACGGAACCCGGGGTGGCTCAGTTGGTTAAGCGTACAACTTCGGCTCAGGTCATGATCTCACGGTTCATGGGTTCAAGCCCTGCATCAGGCTCTGTGCTGAAAGCTAGTTCAGAGCCTGGAGCCTGCTTCAGATTCTGTATCTCTCTCTGACCCTCCCCTGCTCACACTGTCTGTCTGTCTGTCTGTCTGTCTCTCTCTCTCTCTCTCTCAGAAAAAAGAAAAATCGTTAAAACACAGAACCCACAATTACCCACCACAGTCAGCTAGAAGGGACAGAAGAAGCATAGAGAAGCACATGTGGAGGCACCTGCATGGCTCAGTTGGTTGACCATCCAACTCGATTTTGGCTCAGGTCATGCTCTTAACGGTGTGTGGGTTCAAGCCTTCTGTTAGTCTCTGCACTGACAGCATGGAGCCTGCTTGGATTCTCTTACTCCCTCTTTCTCTGCCCCTCCTCCACTCTTTCTCTCACAATAAATAAACAAACTTGAAAAAAAGAGAGAGAGAAGCACATTTGCTAGGCCTAGAAGTGGCTCAGATCATTTTCTCTTAGCTAGGAATAGTTACAGCTGTATTTTTCAGGGTGTGGAGTGGATTTTGATGAACACCTCGCAGTCTCTGCAAGATCTGCATTTAGAGTGTTCATATTGCTGTTGTCACAGTGATATTTAATTAGTGCTTATACTGTATAGCATTCAAATTAGTGTCTTTTTTTTTTTTTTCAAACCAATAACAGGAAAATTAACAATTAAGTTTCCGTTCTTCTCTCAGATGAGAGTGGGATCTTGAAGTTACTCATTTTAAAGTATTTAATAGTTAGCACAGGTCTACTCAAAATATTATTTAAAATTTTTGAAACCTTATGCAAAAAGGTTATCCATCTGTAGATAAAGATGGGATATACCTAAATATATAAAGAAAATTTCTTGGTTCAGCATTTAACTTTCACTGAATTTAATTTAAACAAATACGTTTATATGTTAAGAGGATTATACTTACACATTTTTGTTTAAAAAAATATGCTCCCAAAATCTACAGTTTAATAAATATCACAAAGAACATCTTTATATCAGTTACCAGCTGCCACAGTGATGCTGTTAAACAACCTCAAAAAATCTCAGTGCTTTATCACAACAAACATTTGCTTTTATCACTCATGGGCTTTGTGGGTCAATTGGACTTTGGTTTCAGACTAAAGAAATGGTTTGGTTCTGTTCCATATGCCTTGTTCAGAAATCCAGACTAATGGGACAATAGGTACCTTGGGTTATGCTGTTCTCATGGTGGTGGCAAAAGCACAAGAAGGGAGACCCAACTGTGAAAGTGTGTTTTAAACCTGTGCTTCCATCAAATGCATCCATTTATACAGAGACCATAATTTATGGTTTTACCTTTGTATACAGGACCTGGAAGGATTCCTTTAAAAAATTAATATTATTGGTTTACTAATAGAATATTACGTTTGATACTGTGGATTTAAAAGTAAAATTTTGTGGGGGTTTTTGGTTTGAAAACATTTTAAATTTCAAAGAATCGTATGTTAAACAATGACTATGTGGTCACTATTTTGAATTTAAAAATTCAGAATAATATACTTTATGTCTATATTTGGTTCTATTTTCAAAGTTTTTGAAGAAATTTATTTTATAGTTGAACTTTCTTCTTTACTCTTACCCAGTCTTTATTCTTTCCCAACAGCAACCATCATTTGGTGTGTAGTCACTTCTTCCCTTCTAGGCAGGTAGCCGAAAGTAACCTTAACACTGTTGCATCCCAACAACAGTTGGGATAATAAAATTATCAACAACAGTTGATAATAAAATTGTCAAGAATTTGAAAAGACATTTATTGGCCTCAGAATTTTCCATCTCCACATGAGAGCCATGTTTGCTCTGGGTCCATTGTAATACTGCCCAATTGTTTTTTGCAGCCTTTCAACTAAATAGAACTTTAACCACTACTACCAAACTTTATATACACTGGTAGAGGAAGAAAATTAAATAAAGAAAATTAATAAATCAGTATTCTAACAAGAATTAAAACAGCAATGACCAGATAGAAGTGAAGGCTACAGCATAATTTTCCTGCTGTTTAAATTTTTCCCTCCTCTATACATTGCTTGACTTCAGAGAAACAAAAGCAGGTATAAAGAAAAATAAATCTCCTCTACAGTAATCAAATTATTACATTGGCACAGATAATTTAGAAAACATTTTTGTAATTGGTGTTTTTAAAAACAAACTTTATAAATGGTATAACGTTTCACTCTATAATGAGAGAAGTTAGCTGATACGGGGTAGCAGGGGAGAAATGGGTTTGCAATAAACAGGAAAACCTTTATTCACAGAATTCTTTATAATTGAAAATTTAACTCAGCTTAAATTTTCAGCATTAGGAGAAAGGATACATACATTTAATTTGTGGTATAGCCATTTAAAATGTAAAGGCAGGAAATAAAATTAATGTTTTATTATAAATGCAGAGTAGAAACACTGAATTCCAAATTTTGCATACTGTATGCAAACAACTGTGTAAACACATAAAACAGAGAAAGGACACATAGGAAGTAGATTAAAATGGTAATAATAGTTATCTCTGAGTGGTAGGACTTTGTCTTTTTTACTTTTATGTATTTACTTTTTTAAAAAATGTGTTAAATATATTGAATTGGAGGTAATTAGCATGTCTACATTATTGACTATTTTAATTCATAAGCAATTCATAAGCATTATTGACTAATTTAATTCATATATCCATTCATCTGTTGTTTTTAATTTTACTCATCAGTATTTTACAGTTTTAAGTGAAAAAATCCTTCTTTATTTACATATTTATTCACTAGATATTTGATATCATATTTTTGTTTCATGACACTGTATATAGTATTTTCTCCTATATGGTTTTGCTGGTGTATAGAAATACAATTGTGATTTTTACACTAATGTGTACAGTGACTGTGCTAATAAACTCACTATTATTCCTACTATTTTATATTTTATGGCAATAAACACATGAAAAGATTCTAGACATAATTACTGGGGAAATGCAAATGTTTACCATAATGATGTGCCACTGCATGCCCCACCAAATTGCTAAAATTAACTAACAACAACAAAAACTATACCAATTTTTATGTATTCTCTTAAAATTGGGAATTTATATTTCTATAATAGAAACTTATTTTGAAAAAAAGAAACTTTATTTTGAAGATCTTTCACATAGAAGTGAATTACACTTATTTTCTATGACTCTGGGGGACAGAATAAGACCATAAGACCAGTAATAATTTGGGATTCAGTATAAGATCAAGTGGTTTTTAGTTAGAGCCATCTGTACATGGACTAGATTGCTAAAAGACTCCTCTCAGTGAAACCTACCCCTACCACCGTATTTAAACTGCGTCTTGCCCTGGTTTCCCCAGTAGTCCTACTAATAACCATCAGCATTTTCTAATTGCCTTTTTCTTGTAACTTATAATTTATTAAAATATTAAATAATTATTTAATATGTTAATTCATTACTGTATATCTCCTTCCTTTAGAATGCTAGCTTTTCTTGAAGACAGATTTTTTTTTTAGTTCATATATCCCAAGAATCCATTTTTAAAGTTTATTTATTTGTCTGCTTGTTTAGCTATTTATTTTTAAAGAGAGAGAGCACAAGCGGTGGGGAGGGTATGGGTGGAGGAGAGAGAGAATCTTAAGCAGGCTGCATGCTCTGCATGGAGCCCAATGTGAGACTTGATCCTATGACCCTGGGATCATGATCTGAGCCAAAATCAAGAATTGCCCACTCAACCAACCAAGCCACCCAGGCACTCCTAAAGTTTATTTAAGTCATCTCTGCACCTAGTATGGAGCTCAAACTTACAACCCCAAGATCAAGAGTTTCACACTCTTCCGACTGAGCCAGCCAGGTGCTCTGATATATCCCAAAAATCTTGTACACTGCATGGCACATTAAAGCCACTCAATATTTGTTCAATGAATTTTAATAAATGTTCTTATTAATTGTTCTCATCTTTATCTCCTTAGTTCAGCCTTCACTGTTGCCATATAAGCCTCCTGGTAGTACCAGGATGTACTATGTTCCACAATTAGGAAAAATTCCTTCATCTCTGGATTCCACATCAGATACCACCATTGAGAGTTCTCACTCAGGTAATCTGCATAAATTATTCAAATTTTCATTTTTTGAAATTGTATTTGTGATTTAGCTGGTTCTAGAATAACATGTGAAAGCTCAATGATATTTAATCGTTTAATCAAATATAGAGCTTTTCATCAGTCAGTCTCTGGTTCAGAAAAGTGAGTTATTTGGGGCATCTGGGTGGCTCAGTCGGTTAAATGACTGACTTCGGCTCAGGTCATGATCTCATGGTTTGAGAGTTTGAGACCTGCATCAGGCTCTGTGCTGACAGCTCAGAGCCTGGAGCTTGCTTCAGATTCTGTGCCTCCCTCTCTCTCTGCCCCTCCCTTGCTTGTACTCTGTCTCTCTCTTCTCTCTCTCTCTCTCTCTCTCTCTCTCTCAGAATTAATAAATGTTAAAAAAAAAAAGTAAATAAGTTATTTGGCAAGCTGTATTTAATGAAGAAAATTGTGTGGATAATTGTTTGGTTTAGTAGACTCAGACAAGTTTCCAAGTTTTCTCTGTTCTCAGTGCCTTTCGTGTTTTGGTGATATTTTTTTCTCATTCTTATATGGAATGCATCTCAATACAAGAAGTATCTTTTCAAACAGCTATAAGTTTATTAGGACATAAATATTTACTGTTTTGATCTAGCAACTTAATAAAAATATTAGGTATTTCCTTTTGGTTTTGGGTTTTGAAAGAAAGTATCTTACTTTGTTGATACATAACCACAGTCATTTACTAATGAGATAGGTGCAGCTATTTGTATAGCTCTCAAACCTTGATATGAAATTGGACACAATTACAGTTATTTGCTGCTTGTACTAAAGAAACTCAAAAATCTAGCTTTGCAAAGATAAAAACATTGAAAAGAATATTACATTTTCTAATATTGAAATTTAAAACTTTTTAAAAATGTTTGTTTTGAGAGAGAGAGAGAGAGAGAGAGAGAGAGCGAGCGCATGAGCAGGGGAGGGGCAGAGAAAGAGGGAGAGAAAGAAAGAATCCCATACAGGCTCCACAGTACCAGTGTAAAGCCCGATGCGGGGCTCAAACCCACGAACTGTGAGATCGTGACCTGATCCAAAATTAGGAGGCAGATGCTTAACCAACTGAGCCACCCAGACACCCCTAACATTGAAAATTTAAAGTACTTTGAGCTAGTAGTTTATGTAGTGTCACTAGATATCAGTTATCAATGTTGTTTCAGTAGAGTTTTTAAATATCCCACAGCACCCCTATGAGATCACCACAGGCAAACTGCAGATTTAGAAGATGAGTAGCACCCCATACAGGAACTCAATAAATATTTCCTCTGGGAATTTTAAGATAAGGATAATGGGGCGCCTGGGTAGCTCAGTCGGTTAAGCGTCCGACTTCGGCTCAGGTCATGATCTCGTGGTTTGTGGGTTCGAGCCCCGCATCGGGTTCTGTGCTGACAGCCCAGAGCCTGGAGCCTGTTTCAGATTCTGTACCTCCCTCTCTCTCTACGCCTCCCTTGCGCACACTCTGTCTCAAAAATAAATAAACATTAAAAAATTTTTAAAAAGGATACTGAGTTGGTGTGGTGTAGGGTTTGTATTAATGGGATAACATTTTAAGATGACTTGGTTCAGATTAGATACAAATTTTGTTTTTCATAATTTGTCAATAGACGTCTTTATATGTGTAGGAATTATACATGACAAATTTTCCCTAGTCTTAGCCGTATTTTTTGGTCAACTTTAAGAGGACTAAACAAATATCTAATGGTAACTAAGTTAAAGCAAACTGGTATAACTGCTTCTAATTTCCCACTATGATGCTACTGAAAAAAAAAAGACCAACAAAAATGCTCATATTACCAAATGTTACGACGATTAATCATTAAGCCTATAACCAGAAGCTGGAAGAAATTTCCACTGTATGCCGGCCGTGACACTTGGGACACCTGGGTGGCTCAGTCACTTTAGGATTTCACTCTTGATTTCAGCTTGGGTAATGATCCCAGGGAAGTGGGTCTGAATCCTGCATCAGGCTATATGCTGAGCATGGAGCCTGCTTTAGATTCTCTCTATACCCCCTCCCCCGTCCTTCTCCCCTGCTCGTGCACTCTCTTTCTAAAATGAAAAACAATCATAAAAAAATAAATATTTTAAAAAATAAATAAAAACCCTTATTCCTCTAGGGTTAGGAATAAGACAGGGTTGTCCACTCTCACCACTTACATTCAACATACTACTGGAAGTCCTAGCCACACCGTCAGACAACTAAAAGAAATAAAAGGCATCCAGATCACCAGGGAAGAAGGAAAACTTTCACTATTTGCAGATGCTGTGGTACTATATACAGAAAACCCAAAAGACGCCACCAAAAAACTGCTAGAACTGATAAATGAATTCAGTAAGGTTACAGGATACAAAATTAACATACAGAAATATGCTGCATTTCTATACACCAATAATTAAGCAGCAGAAAGAAATTAAGGAATCAGTCTCATTTACAGTTGCACAAAAAATGATAGGATACCTAGGAATAAACCTAACCAAAGAGATGAAAGACCTGTACTCTGAAAAATATAAAATACTGATGAAAGAAATTAAAGATGACACAAAGAAGTGGAAAGACATTCCATGCCCATGGATTAGAAGAACAGATATTGTTAAAATATCTATACTACCCAAAGAATCTACACATTTAATGCAATCCTTATGAAATTACCAGCGGTTTTCACAAAGCTTGAACAAACCATCCTAAAATTTATATGGAACCATAAAAGACCCCGAATAGCCAAAGCAGTCTTGAAAAAAAAAAAATAAAGCTGGTGACATCACATTTCCAGACTTTAAATTATATTACAAAGTGATAGTAATCAAAACAATATGGTCCTAGCACAAAAATAGACACATAGATCAATGGAACAGAATAGAAAACCCAGAAATGAACCCATAATTATATGGTCAGTTAATCTTTGACAAAGCAGGAAAGAATATCCAATGGAAAAAAGATAGTCTTTTCAACAAATGATGTTGTGAAAACTGGACAGCAGACAAAAGAGTGAAACTGGACCACCTTCTTACACCATACACAAAAATAAATTCAAAATAGATTGTTGAACCATAAAAATCCTAGACAAGAATACAAGCAGCAACTTCTTTAACTTCAGCTATAGCACTTTCTTTCTAGATATGTCTCCTGAGACAAGGAAAACAAAATAAAAAATAAACTATTGGGACTTCATCAATATAAAAAACTTCTTCACAGGAAGGAAACAACCAAAAAAAGGCAACCTATGGAATAGGAGAAGATATTTGCAAATGACATCTGATAAAGGGTCCAAAGTATATAAAGAACTTCTAAAACTCAGTACCCTAATAAAGACTAATCCAGTTAAAAAATGGACAGAATACCTCCCCCACTCACATTCTCTCTCTCTCAAAAATTAAAAAATAAAAATGGGCAGAATACATAAATTAGACATTTTTCATGTCTGACATCCAGATTGCAAACAGACACATGAAAAGATGCTCAACGTCATTGATCATCAGGGAAATGGAAATCAAAACTACAAGAGAGATCACATCACACCTGCTAGAATAGCTAAAATCAACAACACATGAAACAGCAGGTGTTGTCAAAGATGTTGAGAAAGGTGAACCTTCATGCACATTTGGTGAGAATGCAAACTGGTGTAGTGACTCTGGAAAACCATAGGGAAGTGCCTCAAAAAGTGAAAAATAACTACTCTATGATCTAGTAATTGCAATACTGGATATCTACCCAAAGTATACAAAAATACTAATTCAAAGTGATACATGCATATGCATCATGGTTTATCTACACCAGCACTATCTACAATAGCCAAATTTTGGAAACAGTCCAAGTGTCCATCAACTGATGAATGGATAAAGAAGAGGATATGTATATATACATACATACAATGGAACATTACTCAGCTATAAAAGAGAAAGAATCTTGTCATTTGAAATGACATGGATGGAGCTAGAGAGTATCATGCTAAGCAAAATAAGTCAGAGAAAGACAAATGATATGTGATTTCATTTATGTGGAATTTAAGAAACAAAAAAAATGAGCAAAGGGAAGAAAGAGGCAAACCAAGAAACAGACTCTTAACTATAGAGAACAAACTGATGGTTACCAGAGGGGGAATAGGTGATGGGGGAATGAAGAGTGCACTAGTGATGAGCACTGGGTGATATATGGAAGTGTTGAATCACTATATTGTAAACTGAAACTCGTATTACACTGCACATTAACTGGAATTTGAATACAAACTTTAAAAAAAATAACACACTTAATGGAAAACACACACACATACAGACACATAATGGCTATCAGAAAGAAAACAATTGGATAGGAAAACTTTGATCACTCTTTCACTTTCAGGCCCCACGTCAGGAGACAGAATGTCTGTACCATTAAAAATCTGATCTGATGTCTTAATACTTTTTGAGGCCCTTAGTGTCCTGCTATTTGTTTATGTTCCTAACTCATCTATTTGGAGACCTTAATTTTAAGAAAAATTAGACAGTGGTGGGAGGAGAAAATAATTCAGTGATGGTACATTATGTCCTGAGAAATATTGTCCCTGTAAATAAAATACCCAGTATATCAATAAGACAACAGGAGATCTAATAACCATATTATACTTGAGATTGCAGTTTTCATGTTCTCCATCTGTTCTCAGAGCGACGGAGTTGATAGTAGGAAAATCCTTTCTTAAACCAGTAGAGCTACTCTAGGATGGAAGCCTGGGAATTGTTCTAATAGCTGTTGTCAATAAATATATCATGCACCAGTAGATATGAGAAGGATCCACTTAGCGTTTGGGGCCAAGGAGAGGTCATACACCATTAGTAGCAAACATGTGGGCCAAATAGATTTTTCCTCAACTGAGAATGAATAAATATTTGTATTAATAAAATCCCTAAAATATAAATAAGACAAAGGTAACAACCCCCCAAAGATAGATGTTAGGCATTTACTTATGCTCAGTAACATTCTTAAGATTCTTAAGTAGAACAGGATT